CACACACACACACACACACACACACAAATAATATGTACATAGTGAACACTCACATAAAACGAAACATGCACACACCAATTTCACCAAAATATGTACATAGCGAAACACGCACATAGCGAACACACACATAGCAAGCATGCACACAGCAAAACACTATGCACAGGCGAACATACACATAGGGAGACACACACATAGCGAAACATACACATAGCAAAACATGCATATAGCGAGCACCCACAAAGGGAAACAGGCGCAGAGCCAACAGATTCCAGGTCCCGAATGGCATTTCATACATGTTGTATAATATGATTCTTTGTACATGTATTCAACATTGGTACCCGGCACATAGCGAAATTTGTGTATACCAGCGCAGGTAACCAAAAGGTTTCTGCGTCCCATCGATCTCACTCTGTGTGGGCTAGACTGGATTTTGGTCCGAGTATCACACAGGTTTTTTCTTTCTTCACATTTCCGTAGGACTAGATCTAGTAAACAGTTCTAGAGGTGACACATCTACGTATGTATTCATGCATTGACCTAGTGATGAGTTACATTAGCTATAGATCTATTAGCTATCGATTTATTACTGCGTTGCATTACCTTGGTCTGTTTACCAGTTGATGTAGTGATGTTTTACGCGCCTACATATTGATCAAGTGATGTGTTACATAACAGTCATTATCTATTACATGTAATCTAGTGCAGTGTTACTTTAACGTGCGCAACTTGCACACGGGGCCTCCGAGATATTTCGCCCTTATCCGAGAAGAGTTGGTGTAGATCTTTCCTACCAGAAGATCAGGAGTGTGGCTGAAAGACAGCAGTAAGAAGGAGCCAAGGGGTAGCAGTAGAAAGACTGTAGAAAGAGTCAGGAGCCCAGAGGAGGGGGCAAAGGAGGTGGGGGTTGGGGGCAGAAAGTGGAGACGAAAGCATACGACAGAATATTGCTAGAGAGCAGGAAAGGAGGTGAAAGGAGACAATGTTAGAGAAGGAAATGTTTCCGTCACTACCCGGATTCGAACCCGGTACCTTTGAAAGAGAGGCGAACACTTTAACCTCTAGGCCACGAGGGCCCCTGCCTGACGCGGTGAAAATAAATCCGAAGTCACCGAAGGGAGGGGAGATGCAGTCTAAATCTGTCCCCGTGGTTTTAAGCACCCCGCATAATTTAGCAAAATTTGATAATTTTTTGCATAATTTCTGATTATTTTCCTTTATCATTAAAATTAACAGAATCGCATAATTTCACATTTTTGGGTTCAGTTTGCATAATTTCAGAATTTTTCTTGCATAAAACGACGGGGGCATAAAAAATAAAGAACGTTCCAGAATTGCTCAACAGTGTGTGTAGATTGTTCCGTTGACAATAAATGATGGTATAAAAGACTAGAAATTGATGGTATAACAGCAATAATTGTGAATTAAATGACATTTAAAAAAGTGCTAGAATATATGGCAGATACAAGGTTAGAATCAGACATCCACGAACGAATTATTATGTTTTCACATTAAAAAATTTACTCTATAACCTTAATAGATTGATAAAAAGGCATGTTGTTTTTTTAACTGGTTCTAAAACATGTGACTTTAGGGAAAAAATTGTATTAAATATTTCACATATTACTTGATGCTTCAAATATGTTTTGTAAACACAACAACTTTTTTCTGGACAGTTTGATCTGTGTTAACAGTTTGGTGTATGAGATATGTTTAGGTAATTTCACTTTTTATCAAATGAAACTGAACGTGAGAATAACAATTAAAGCAAGTTTGTCAGTAAAATGATGCAAATTACACTGTGTTTGTTTTTCCGACATTTTCTACAGTCTGTCATTCGAATGACACAATACATCAGTGTCCCGTTTTTCAAACGTCAATTCCTCGTTATGTCCCCTTCATCAAATGTCAATTCCTCGTTGTATCCCCTTCATCAAATGTCAATTCCTCGTTGTATCCCCTTCATCAAACGTCAATTCCGTGTTGTGTCCCCTTCATCAAATGTCAATTCCTTGTTCCTAGTTGTATCCCTTTCATCAAACGTCAATTCCTTGTTGGGTCATCAAACGTCAATTCCTCGTTGTGTCCCCTCATCAAATGTCAATTCCTTGTTCCTAGTTGTATCCCTTTCATCAAACGTCAATTCCTTGTTGGGTCATCAAACGTCAATTCCTCGTTGTGTCCCCTCATCAAATGTCAATTCCTTGTTCCTAGTTGTATCCCTTTCATCAAA